TATGCGATATAGTGATGACCGTTGGACCAGGGCGATTACTGACTGGATGGCTCGGGACATCAAACGATTCCCAGGACGGCCGCCAACGAGATGGTCAGGCATCTCCACGAAAACTCTGAAAGAAAGGAATGTTCTGTCCCGTGTCCCTCGAACGAATACGATTCACTGGACAACGCTGGCTCGTGACAGGGGCGAACGAAGATGTTTCTGGCGTCCGCTCAAGGAACTGATGATCAACGGGACGACAGGGTATACAGGTGATCGAATAAATATCAACCGGTTGGCTAATCGACAGTCTTCTTCGTTCAAGCGTGGTGCATCCGAACTTCATAAAGTAGATTTCGAGTGTAGCGATACTACTGTCGCAAAATCGGTCGTTACTGACCGATTGAAGAAGATGAATACCGACTCATCGTGTGATCTACCGGTTATTTACGGTTTTGTTCCCTTAAGCACAATGCGATGAGAAGCGAACAGGATTGCAGAGATATCGTTATTTACGGTCTTGCACCCTTAAGCACAATGCGATGAGAAGCGATTAGGATTGCAGAGATATCGGTTTCCACGCGACAGAGTGCTGGCAACTGCATCTTCTTTGGACGTTATGCGTTTAATTCCTATGGGAGTCCCGTCATAATGATTGAGATACGTTGTAGTGTAGTCGATGTGCTGCCTGATTGACCGAGAACTCACACTTCCAGCCCTTCATCCTGACCTTGAGCGGACTCCACGGAAGCAACGCTAGCATGATTGAAATAGCGACGCAGTTACATTTGTTGAAATCGACCAATCGGTAAAAGATAAATACAGTTTTCATGTAATTGACCACCATTTACAAGGTAGCTCCCCACAGTAAAGAAGATACTATTTATTCATTGAGTACGTTGTAGAAGACAACGTTAGAAAGGAAAATACAGAATATAGCTACAACATCATTAAGTAGTGTGATGATCATGGAAAATGAGATAGAATCGGTTGAGTGCTGCCAACTATGCCTTATCTCTTATCTATGCTACTGGAACAGCTGAAATTTCGGTATTCTAGATCCGCTCTTACTGTGAAGAAGTTGCGCTTTTGGGAGTATTTCAGGTCTGGGAGAAGGCAATTAGAGCTGTTCGCCTCTTGTGATAGGAGGGATGAAGCTGAAGAACTGACAACTATAAGCGCAAGTCTGTCGCTGAGAATGCTGAAAACAATGCATATATCGAAGAATGTCTGTTCATGATGATGGAAAGGTAGATCGTGCTGACTCCTCATTTCGGTAATTTAGGATACAAAAGGCCACGGTCTATCATTTTTTAGTGGAGTTGTAACTTAGTATTTTGAATCTTCTCAAGCGAAGCAATGACTTTTCTCTTATGTGGCAAAAACCAAAACCATCCCAACTATTTGAAGAGCATATATTTCATTCGCCTGAACGAGTGTTTTACAATTATTCATTGTCAGAGCTCCAAAAAATCTTTTAAATATATGTATGGGTGGTACATGATTGAGATATAATAGAAGTTATCCATCAGGTTACAGCACGTGAACGTTTTATCTTCAAAGGAAGCAAAGTTGTAAATAAGCTGTCGTTCACGCATCAATACAATATTACGTATGGTGATATTTATCAGCATCGCTCGATCAATATCGGTTTCATCATCCTTGGTAATTCTATCAGACTTCCTTTGCTGCCTTGGACTTTGAGATTTTAGCAGTTGAAGGAAGCAACGTGTGAACACCTGAAAATCGATATTCGTCGGCTGGAAATTTCCCGACGTCCACGTTCACAATAAGTTAATCCTCTGCTCTGAGGAAATCCGAGCTTTGAATATCTTGCCAATTACGCAACAATATTATATTCATGAGTGCTGATTGATCGATATGAACAAATGTAAGAGCAGTTTAATTTCCATTACACGTGCTATACGTCCTCAGAAATTAATTTCTCTACTTTTGAGGGCTGAAAAGGGTGTAAAAAATTGGATAGATTTCTGATGTACACTTAGCCCGGCCCACCTCCATGAAGGTGTACCTCTCTTCTATCACTATCCACTATCCGAAGCTGGATATAAATATTTGATCTGAGCTCCATCCAATTTTATGCCTGGCCAACCTATAACGGGTAGATGTGTTTGTTTGACCAAGATGTACTCCCATCCGGTTGAGCTCTGCATTTTGGTACTCCAATAGCACAGAGCCTATCTCAAGTCATGTGTGATAGCTTGTGAATAGTTCCGTATTATGATTTTCTAATGCCAAGTTTGTATACATCTTATCGCTGCATGCGGCAAAACATCACGCATTTGAGTATGCTCTATTTCATTAGATCGATGGCAAGTGTTTGGAAAAAGATACTGTGAATAAGAATAGCTTGTAATTACTCTTTTGACACCGAGTAAGATACCCGTCAAGGCTATAATTCACCAATTCAAGCTTCATGTCCGGTTTCACGCTCAAAAAAGGTTTTTTGGGAAAAAAGCTTCCCATTAGGGGAATATCGGTGGGTCAATGGAAGAAATGATTTATGACATCAACTGCGCATCTTGTCAATTAAATAATCGATACAGCGCCCACGAATGTACTTCGCGCTGCAACTTCGGAGCGTGGGATGTTGGCACCCAGAACAAGACGCTTCTTGAAGCTTCCTTATCGCAAAAGCTTATCGAATAGAGCGTTATAAAAAGGCTACTGCAAATATGAAGTACATTGAAAGCTGCGCCCTAGCATTTATCTTCAAAACGACTGCACTTATTAATGGAGTGGGCATAACAGGATCTCGCCGGTTCCTACAATCTATTCAGAAAAATTCTGCAAGGATGAATCTAACGCTTGTATCAGAGTCAAGTGCACACAGTGTGTGTTCATTTACGTGCAATTCTTATAATTTCGCACCATCCTTGATCCTTCACTCGCCTGTAGTGGCCTTGCTTGATTGGTTGGCTGCTGACATCTCTGCCAGACCAGACTCACTTCTAACAGTATCAATTGTATGAGTTGAAATTCGTGACATTCTGAAATATGAAAAATAAAACCAACAAACAATATATGAACATGAGATATGCAGCATTAGAAGCTGTGAAATGCGAAGTAATCGTAGGAATGAGGAAAAATTTATCGCCTTTCTGAAAACGTTCATTCTCTCATGGCGCTTCCAGGCAAACTAGCAGAGTTTACAGAGAAAGCCCTCTCAAATTTTTTAAGCAATGCGTCGCTTTGTTTGCACGCTGTTAGGAGATCACTTACAGGTATTCAAACATGTAGATAAAAACACCACATTAAAACATGTAGCTTAAAACACTTCAACTTATTTTTGTACTGTCTTTGTCACGTGAGCACAATATCTTGGTTGTATTACCCTGGATTTCACTACAGCGCCTTCTCAGGCTTCAACTCAGGATTAGCCGATTCTTGTGCTCCTTCTTATTTATGGGGGTCCCTTTGTCTAGCTAGCTTGTCACAACACACTGTGCTACCACTACTTTACGTCTTCACCTCTTCCAGCTGCCCATCCCTTTTCTGTTTGCTCGAGCGCTGTAGCTTCAAACTTTTTGCGTTTATCCTTAGTACCCGAGAGCCCTGGAAGCTCTGGATACTGGAAGCCTCCGTTTTCAGGAACTTCAGGTTTTATGGCAGCTACAGCTACCAAAAAACCAGACCACACCCTACTGCAAACATATGTTGGTGGAAGGCAAGTGGCGAGAGCGAGAAATAATAGTAGTAAATAATAATAAATGATAGTAAACAATGGTAAATAATAATAATACATAATAATACTGAGTAATAATATTAAATAATGGTTATAATAAATATTAATAATAAATAATAATAAATAATAATGATAATCAGTAACAATAATAATAGTCACAACAAGTAATAATAACTAATGGTAATAAATAATAATAATAAGTAATAATAATGCTAATCAATAAGAATAATAATAACAAATAATGATGAATAGTCATAATTAATAGTAATAAATAATAATCAAAATAAATAACAATTAAAAATAAATAATAATAATCATGTTCCAAATCATTATCATGATCTTCGTCATCCTATTCTTAAGCATCTATCTTACCTGTAGACGGGATCCGCTTTTCTGGTATGTTGACGCCACTTCTCCCAATTGTACTCTTGATCGGGGCGTTTTGAAGTCTTCGCACAACCTATCAAGGTAGCATTGCCGCTTCGGACGTCGTCTAGCACACATATAGACACGTCAAGGCTGAGACGGATCGTACGGACACTGTCAGCAATCGCGCGAAGGACATGACCATACCATTGGGAGCGGGCTTTGAGCATTTTATCGATAGTGGGACTACGCATACACCTGGCCACATCAAATAGCGATTCTGGCCTACACCGAATCGCTAACTGATGACGTCATTTCTTATGCGGTATAATCGTGTCACTTCAGCTGTCCAGCTTAGCATGTTGGCTTTCAATACACTGAGACGAGCTCCACTTCTTCACTCGCAGGCTAGCTTTCAGCGTTGCAAAGGGGGACAGCCCGACTATGGTTTTATGGGTATAAGATTTGAGACCGCCATCGAGCGCTACTTCAACCACTCTGCATTACGCGAGAATTCGTTTCAGAGACCAGGTTGCCGTCAGGCGCAAAAACTTTTGGCATCCATGACGACAACAAATAGTAGTGAGGATAACTCAGAGGCCCGGCGTACTGCGACAGAGTTGGGAAAATCCATCGAAGTGCCCACTGCTGTTTGCGCTCGGCTCTTTGAACGAGAATCAAGGATGATAAGCTCTACGCAACGCTGTGCTGTCATAAGGCATACCATGTAATCATGCGGATCGTAAGGCATACCAATATAACGTCTTGCAGGGCCTTGTTCAAGTTTAGGGAGGCGAGATGTATCGGTCTTTGTTTTTCGCGACGCTTCTTCAATAGAAGGCGAGTGGTGTGAATGGCATCGACGATGCTGCAACTAGCCGACTGGTTAATGGTCAGCTCGACAATGTCATGGATGCGACTGTCTACAATTCGATCGAAAATTTTCACTCTGTGCTAGAGCAGATGAATGGGACTGTAGGAAGTGCAATTCACAGGACTGCCCTTCTTCTTCCAAATATGAGTAGTCGTGCTCTGTTGCCAGCTCTCAGGCACCCACTTTTCTGCATCGACCTGGTTGAAGAATTCCTTCAATCACCCTATAGGATTTCAGCACTTTGAATTTCACTAGTCATAGTGCCAGTCAAGTCAAGGTCAGTCGAGTCATCAAGACCAATTCTTTTGCTTCATCCTCTTCATGCCGTAATCGTTTCTTTCACGGTCATCTCCTGCACGAGGTCCTACACTGGCGAAGCACAAGGGATGGCGGGATGAGCGAATTCGACAACTGAGATCTGAAGTAATATCGCTATCGCTTCAGAGTTTGCTCGCGGTCCGTCAAGAGGCGACTGTTCTCGTCACTCACGCTGAAAGATGCCTTCATGCCTCCATATCCTCGGTCTGGCGATAGCGGGACTCTGCGAATCGGCAAAGGTACCGCTCACCATCACGAGACTTGAAGTTCTCGTTCAGATCAGCAAAGTGAGCTGCCTTCGAAGAAACAACAGCCTTCCCTTCCCCTTTCTCCACGATCTGATTGCGCTGCCGGTTATTTGCTGTCTTCGGAAAAGAATGCGTGGTAATGCCTTTTTCTCACGCACTTTATCTATCACATGGTCCGTCCGCAGTCATGTTGTCACGGACGCGACCGGAGCAAGAGGAAAACATAGGCACAGTTCCCATGCGTTCCAGCTTAGATCCGCGACCGTGATAACCCGAGCATACAGAATGTCAGTATATAAATGGACAGAGCATCAGGAAGCATTCCACTCTTCCTTCTTGACTCTCAAGATTCAGTTCTCATTTCCTTTGATTATTCTATAGCATTGTTGGTTTTGTATTGGTTTGAATTGATCAATATTTAGATCATCATTAGCGCATTTATTCGTAATCAGTATCTCAGAGCATTTATTCATGTTTAGTGTTTGGAGCATTAATCACATAGCATATTTCACCATTGTGCTCAGTAACATTGTGCTTTATCTCTCTCCACTTATGCTTTGATTCACTTATACTCTCAGTAAGCCTTAGTGCCTTGATCTCGTAGTATTGTACTGTTTTGTTTATTAATACAGTTTAATTACCCAAGTTTGAGAGTGCACCACTGAACCACACGTTCAAACACATGTTTGCCTGTCAATCTTACGCCGTCCAGGCTTGCTCTTGCCGAGCTCCGACAGCGCAACCCGGATTATAGCTTCGGCAGCACCATTACAAGTTTCGCCGACAGTCGTTACTGCCGGTAATAGCATGCGCTGGATGGGGACCGCTTCTTTTTTTTTCACTGGCCACACATGATTCTCGCTAGCCCACGCCTTTCGTCTAGTTTCGGTTTCGGCGGGGCAATATTCGGCGTATAAATCATCGCTCGGTGTTGCGTGGCGACCATTTCTTGAGGCACTATCTTCGCATCTATTGCGAGCCCCTAGGAGAGTGGTGCCTGACAAGTAAGAAACCAATTTGTGTTTTTTCCACCGCAGATGATGAGATGAGGGTCCTGTTTTTTTAAAATTCGTCGTGTTTACAATGGCGAAATCACGCTAGTTTTCATTTGAGCCCGCTTGCAATAAGCAATAAGTGACCCGTATCCACAACCGCCATGACATCTATACCCGTCTTTCATAGCGCCCACGCAGCCACTGAGGTCACCCCCGACATTCATGCTTTCTGTAACAATGCCTTAGCCGACTTTTCATCGAGCAGGTTCCAGAATTTCACTTTTTTCGAAATTTTGGTTTGCTTGTAGCATCCAGTTTGTGGAACAGAAGAAGTGGTATTTTTGACGTTCGATGACTACGATGATCTTCATTAAGTGGTCATCGAAGCATTTCGCACTTACTATCGAATCACGGATGCGTTCAGAAACAATTATTTTAAGGCCATGTACGGCTACCTCTGAACCTCGGCATAGTGCAAACGTTGTTTTCTTTGCTTGAACTTGGACGAGGT